GGGCTGCCCAGCTGCGGGGAGTAACCGCGGTGGACCGGGCCGGCGCTCTCAACCTCGTCTTCGCCCTTTGTCGACCCCTTGGGTCCTCACAGCGGGGCAAGGAGCTCTCTTGGGCCGAGCGCCCGCTCTGCTAGGCGAACCTGCAACCCGGAAAGGCGGTGCGGCAGAGCCCAGAGCTGGATCCTGCTCGGACCGGGGCCCCGCAGGCCGGTGCCACCGGCATGTCTGAGGCGCGGAAGGGGCCGGACGAGGCGGACGAGAGTCAGTATGACTCCGGCATAGAGTCTCTGCGCTCCCTGCGCTCCCTGCCCGAGCCCACCCTGGCCCCAGCCTCTGGGCCCTCGGAACGCAGCGGCCCACAGCCCTGGACCCATCCTCCCAGGACCTCCACGGAACCACAGAAGGAAGACGCGGATGGGGAACGGGCTGACTCCACCTATAGCTCCTCTTCGCTCACCGAGCCCCTGCCTTTGCTTGGGGACCCCGAGGCCAAGGACCTGACCCCAGGCTCACCGCTCCCTTCCGCGGGGGCGCTGAGCCCTCAGCAGCTGGAAGCCCTCACTTACATCTCTGAGGACGGAGACACGTGAGTCTGGGGGCTCAGCTAAGCCGGGATGCTAACTCTGAGGCTGGAACAAGCTAGGCATCCCCCACCCAGGAGGATCCCCCCAGGCACCCGCCCTGGGAGGCGCAGTTCCCACTCTCCTCCAAACTCTAAACTTAAACTCGCAGCCCAATTTTGAGCCCTAGCCAGGCCCAGACCAGACTTGGCATCCTCTCTGCCCTCTTTTTTGGGGGTGGGCAGAGCTGGCAGAACTCTTACCCAGGCATCTGGAACCTCAGCCAGCATCTTGGAAATGTCCCAATAACACCCTTAGGAAAAGAAAATTCCCCTGACCAGTCCAGTTTTTTTGTTTGTTTGTTTTGTTTTGTTTTGTTTTTTCATGCTGGGGGAGGGGGCATCCTTGTTTGCTCAAAACTGGGATTCCCAGGTCCTGACCTCAGAATGCCATCTCAAGGAACCAGAGGTGCCAATTACAGGTTGCTGGTATGGGCCAGGAAGCTGCGAGGGAGGGGGTGCCATCAGGGTGCAAGGTTGGGGATGGCCCAGAGCGGCGGGGAGGGGGGGGCAGGACGGGGCACTCTTGTCTCAGCAGACAGATAGGTGGCTGACTCCCCAGCTTACTTCCTCCTCTGCCTAGTAAAGGGAAGTGAGGGCTGGAGTCAGCCTCCTCTCCACCCTCTACCTCCTGAGCCCCTCCAGGCCTCACCGTCCCCCTTCATTTTCCCGTTCCTCTCCCAGGCCCAGGTGGAGTTAGGTGGGGACTGGGCCAGGGGGCAGGTGAAGTAAGAGGCCATTGATATATGGGGGTTGGTTGGTCAGTGGACGACCTGGCCCTACGGAATAAGAAAACACCGACAGAAGAGGGAGTGGCTGGGCTTTTGGGGTGAGAAATTAAATGTGTGTGTGTTGCGGGGCAAAGAGGGCTGGAGCCCCAGATCAGGGATGCTGGAACGAGTGAGTAGGGGAGGCAGGAAGTGCCTGTCCTGACCTGCTTTTAAATGCAGGGGTCCTATTTCTGGGTGACAGTGGAAAGAGAAAGCTTTTAGTCCCAATGGGTAGGAGAGGAGTGACCCCAGGCCTTTCTGTATTCTGTGCCTGGATCACCAGTGCTCAGGCTCAGAACCCCAAGGTTTTGGGGGCTCCACAGAAGATAATTACGCTGACCTTTGATCCAGTGAGTCGGGACTGATAAACTGCCCTCTCTCCATAGCAGCTTGGCTCAACCTTTATTGTCTCTAGTTAGAGACAGGTGCAGTGCCTAGACTGGGGCATGTGTGTGTGGAGGGGAGAGTGTCGGGACTCCCCAGTGGGTCCCCAGAGAGGAGGAGTTTTTGCTTCCATTAGAGGTGCCTGGACTTGGAGAGGTATGGAAGTGGGAAGAGGAAGTGGGAGGAGGGGAGACTGAGGGAGAGAGGGAGGTGGCTGCAAGAATGTGACCCAGAGAGCAGGCCCTGGCCGAGGGGATTTCCAGAATGGTTCCTCCCTCCCTCGCCACTCTCTCCTGGGCCTCTCCTGCCTGCCCTCAAAGCCTGCCCCCCTTCTGCCTGAACAGCCCCCTCCCCAGCCCGGACAGGCCTTTTAGCTGAGCTACCCATCACTGCTGCCCCAAGGCAGCTGTCCCGGCCTAGGCCCTCCAGCTCTGGCTTTCATTTATGCCACCTGATGTGGGGAAACCCCAAGACTGGAACTTCCCCTCCCCGCTGGCTGCCCCTCCACCCCTAGGTGAAGGCTCTTGGCCCCTCCAACAAGCACGTAGCCTCTGCACCGCTCAGACCTCCTCTAGGTGTACCCGGGAGTGCAAGGTCTCTGGCCGTGGGACGTCCCTGGGAAGAGCAGCAGGGCAGGATGCTGCGCTGTCTCCCTGCTCCTCTTCCAAGAGCATCTGTTTCTCTCCCTCGGAATTAACCTTGACTTGCTGGGGGTGGTAATGGCCCCTTATTGGCTCCCTGTTGTCCCTGTTGGGGAGGGGAGAAGTGGGGAGCTCTGTCTTGGAAACCCCCTCTGCCCTACTTCGGCAGCTTTCAGTTTGGCTTTGAGCTGCAGCTGGCCTGGCAGTGCCCTGGGGGCAGAGGGCAGTGAGGTGTGGGCAGGCTGGACAGGACAGCCCTTGTCTTGTCAGCACCCAGCCCACATGCCCACCCAGGGCCCTCTGGAGGACAGCAACAGGAGCTCAGAGCTCCCACTCCCGAGATCCTGCACCAACCTTCACTTCCTGGCCTAAGCCCCTACTTCCTACACCTGCCCTGCAGGGTAACTAGTTAGAGACTGATGTGTTCCTTCTAACTCCAAGACCCCAGCACACCCTGTCTGACCCGGGCTCTGACCCCAAGCCCTGCCCTCCCCCAGGCTGGTCCACCTGGCGGTGATTCACGAGGCCCCAGCGGTGCTGCTCTGTTGCCTGGCTTTGCTGCCCCAGGAGGTCCTGGACATTCAGAACAACCTTTACCAGGTGGGTGGAGAGAGAGGGCTGTGTGAGACACCTGTTCCTGCCTAGCAGCTGGCCCCAGCAGCACACCCGAGTCCTTAGGCTGCTCACTCAAGAAACCAGATGCTGGACATGGGGCTGGAGCTGAGGACACAGGGATGAGTAAGACACAGCCTCTGCATACAAAGTGCGCCCAGCCTGGGCTGGGGGACCCATGTCAGCTCCTCATTACACAGCAGGGTGACAAGTGTCGTGGAGACTCGTGCCAGCTGCTCTGGGGCCCAGTGCCTGTGTGGAGTGGCCTGGCTTAGAGAAGGCTGAATACAGGAGGTGCCATCCTTAGGGAACCTTAAAGGAGGACTTGTGCAGGTGGAGACTGTCTGGTGCCTCTGTCCTTCCTCCCTCTAACCTAATCCCTGCAGCCTAGCCCCTAGGGACAACAGAGTTCTCTCCAGGGGCTAAGGGGACCTGCAAGGGGCCAACTTCCCTCACCCTGCTTCCAAAATTGAGGTCCCAAGAGCTTGGTGGGTGTGACAGAGGGAAGGACTTGATAGCCCTTCCTTGGAAGTCCAGGGCTATGGCCTTTATTAGCAGCTCTGAAGTGAGGTACCGTCAGCTAGCTATTCTTGTGCCCACCTCAGCATGTTCCCAGAGGTGGGAGCTTGCTGTAGTGGCCTTGTGATCCTCTGTTTGTGTTTACAGACAGCACTCCATCTGGCTGTACACCTGGACCAGCCAAAAGCAGTTCAGGCATTGGTGATGAAGGGGGCCAGCCGAGTGCTACAGGACCGACATGGTGACACAGCTCTGCATGTGGCCTGCCAGCGCCAGCACCTGGCCTGTGCCCGCTGCCTGCTGGAAGAGCACCCAGAGCCAGGCAGAGGACTGTCTAACTCCGTGGACCTCCAGCTGCAAAACTGGCAAGGTGTGGGCAACCTCAGGGTCTGTGGGGTGAGGGGGGCTTAGAAGTCAGGGAGCCTACTCTCAGTGTAGGGAGAGTCCCAGCTTGTCCAACTCTAAGCACATAAGTATGCACACAGTACTTCTTGGCTGAGTGAATGAGTGAACGAATGATTTGATTCAGAATTTACAAGAGGGGCCAGCAGGTGGCATAGTGGTTAAGGCACTAGATTCCCACATGGCTAATCACAGTTCAAGTCTTGGACCCAGCAGATTGATCACGCTGGGCATGTGTGCATGTCTGCCCAAAATCCCAGGAGGAGAATGGAGGAGATGGGATTGTGGCATGGCCATCCCCCTGGGAGGTGCTTTCTCTTTCTTTTCTCTGTCTCTCTGATACGTGCATGTACTCTCATGGAAAAAAAAAAAAAACTTAAAAAAAAAATTTAGGTGAAAGCTAAATCTTGCCCTTAAGATATTCAGTTTAGGAAGCAGGTGGCATGGTGGTTAAGGTGCTGGACTCCTACATGGCCGACCACAGTTCAAGTTCCAGACCTGGTGGCTTGCTTTCTCACTTTCTCTCTCTCTCTCTGTGTTTCACTCTGATGAGTACATGTGCCCTATAGCAATTTTTTTATTAATTAATAACATTTGATACAATAATTATTTTTTAAAAAGATAGTTTAGGGTCCAGCACGTAGCATGGTGGTTAAGGCACTGGATCCCATATGATCAAACTATGTGGTTTGAGCCCTGGACCTGGCAGCTTGAAGAACATGCATGGCGCATATATGTGTGCCCAAAATCCGAAGGACAATGGAGGAGAAAACATGGTAGCATGGCCATTCCCCCTGGAGGTCGATTTCTCACTTCTCCTCTCACTGTCTCCTTCCAGCCTGCATGTGTGCCCTATCACAAAAATCTTTTTAAAGATATTTAAAAAGGGGAAAAGATATTCAGTTTAGTAGAGATTAGGTGAACCTATTCATTCATTCAAGAGGAATGTACTAAGGGCCTTCTGTGTGCTGGACACTACCCTAGGAGCTAGGCTTGCATCTGTGAACGAAACAAAGATCAAGACAGACCATAAATATAAAAGATGAATTACATCACATGTTAAAAGGCATTAGAGCAGAATTGGAATATGGCAGATGAGAGAGTTGAGGTGACCTTTAAATAGGGTGATCAGGAGGGCCTCATGGAGCCAGGAACATTTGCACGGAGACTTGAAGGAGGTGAAGGATGTAAGTTTGAGTCTTAATCTCTTTTTACTAAGCCGGGGCTAGGGTGGAGGTCCAGGCCAGAAAGGAGATGGCAAAGGTCAGGTGGAGGCTCTGCGAGGGGCTGAGCGCGGGGATCCTAGGTGGCTTCTCAGAGGAAGACTGGGTTGGAAGGTAGCTAGAGTGTTACAGTGTTTAGTGGGGGAGGGAGCATTATGTATACTGGAGGAAGGTGTGTGTTTGGGGACTGTCACTTAGCAGCCTGAGCCCTGAAGCATGAAAGTTTCAATAACATGACCCTGAAAAGGTGGAAACTTTGAGTTCCTTTCCCCTCAGATTTTTGAGGGGGTTTTTGGGTTTTAACGGTCCTGTGATTAGAGGCACTGAGTGGGCAGTGGGTCCCCTGGGACCGAGAGGTAGGGAGGTCCCTGCAGAAAGGGAGCGAGAAAGAGTTGGTAGATGCATATCAGCAGCCCCCACTCTCACCCTATCCCAGGTCTGGCCTGTCTGCACATCGCCACGCTGCAGAGGAACCAACCACTCATGGAACTGCTGCTTCAGAACGGAGCTGACATTGATGCACAGGTGAGGTAGCCCGTCATCGTGCTGCCCCCAGCTGGGTCTAGCCCCATGTCCCCTGCCCAGCTGTCAGAAATGGTGGTGCTCACCTCTTTAGCCAGTGCCCAGGCTCAGCACACTGACTCTCAAGAGCCTCGGCTGACACCCTTATTCCTCTCCAGGAGGGCACCAGTGGGAAGACAGCGCTGCACCTGGCTGTGGAGACCCAGGAGCGGAGCCTGGTGCAGTTCCTGCTCCAGGCTGGTGCCCGAGTAGATGCCCGCATGCTCAATGGGTGCACGCCCCTGCATCTGGCAGCTGGTCGGGGCCTCGGCAGCATCTCATCCACTCTGTGTGAGGCGGGTGCTGACTCCTTGCTGCGGAACGTGGAGGATGAGACGCCCCAGGACCTGGCTGAGAACGTAAGAGGCATATGCTGTGCTCTGCTCTCCAGGCTCCCACACCCAAAGCAGGGACAGGCCCCATCATGAGCTGAGAGGGTCAGGGAGTTAGGAGTCCTGGAGTTTAACCAGGACTCTGCCACTTACCAACCATGGGACCTTGGGCTACCCTCTGCCCCTCCCTGAGCCTGTATTTTCAGCAGGTCAGCACCAGGGGGCTCAAACTGGGACTCTTCTTGGGGCCCTGGCAGGTAAGTTAATCAGTGAAGCTAGCCAGGAGGAGACAGCCTTGGCATGGTCTGTGAAGAACCAGAGTCATGCCTGAGAGTCTCTGTACTCAGCTGCAGCAAATGCTTGCAGAGTGGGAATGTAGGCCTGGTATTTCCAGGTCTTCGGATTTTTTTGAGATATAGAATCTAGATTTTATATGCAGTCTTTCCTATTTTTAAATATTCAGTGTAAAAGAATATTTAAAATGTTTTGTGTAGCCAGCTGGTGGCGTGGTGGTTAAAGTAGCTGGATACCACATGTCCAAATGCATGGCTCAAGTCCCGGACCTGGCAGCTTGAAAAACACACCAGGTACACGTACAGGAGTGCTCAAAATCCTCAAAGGAGAAATGAAAGAGAAGGGATTGCAGTGTGACCATCCCCCATGGGAGGTGCGTTCTCACTTTCCTTCTCTCTCTGTCTCCTGACCTCTGGCAATTTTTTTTTTTTAAGAGAGATTTTTGCTATAGGCATGTGCACTCTCCAGAGACACGTAGAAAGAGAATGTGCAAAATCATCCTCCCCAGAGGGGATGGTCATGCTGCAGTCCCTTCTCTGTTCTCCTCTCTGGATTTTGGACATGCATACACATGCATCCAGTGCAAGTTTCAAGTTGTTGGGTCCAGGACTTGAACTGCAGTTGGTCATGTGGGAATCCAACACCTTAACCACTATACCACGTGTTGGCCCCAACCTCAAAAAAAAAAAGTTTTGAGAGTAATCTTTCTTATCCTCAGCCCCCAACTGAAACAAACAGGTCAATTGGCTGGTTCGCTTTTTTTTTTTTTTAAGTTTGCTATAGGATGTGTGTGCCTATCAGAGACAGAGACAGAGAGGAAAAGTGAGAAATCACCCTCTGGGTGGGTGGCCACACTGCAATCCCTCTTTTCTCTTGGGATTTTGGGCATGCACACACACACACCCGGTGTGTTTTTCAAGCCACCGGATTCATGACTTGAACTGCGAAGTCAGCCTTGTGGGATTCAGCTACCTTAGCCACCACCTGCTGGCTCTGGACCCCCCTCTAAGGTCCCTCCTAGCTCTGATATTCTGACATTATCAGAATTTGATTATTTGGGGGATGAATATGAAGATTTGTTCCCCAATGTTTTTTAACTGTCATCTGATGGGGAGGGAGTGGCCTCACAGTTCTCAGTCCCCTGGTCCCTGATCTTGCTCCTCTCCATTCTCTTTCTCAGCCTTTTACTCTTTTGCCCTTTGATGACCTGAAGATCTCGGGGAAGCCACTTCTGTGTGCCGACTGAAGCCAGGGCAGGGTCTGGGACCCTGGGGCTCCATCTCCTTAGTCTGGAAACTGGGGCCATAGCTGCTGCCATTTGGGCCCAGGAAATGTGCCCTCGGACTGCTGAGGCCAGAGCCTGGGGCCAGCATAGTCCTGAGCTGAGAAGGACCGCAAGCAAGAGCGAGCCAGTCTCGAAGGAAGAACTTCCCAGGTGGTCGGAGATTCTCGGAAGACCCCAAAAAGCCCCAGGTATCCTGGGTGACACCCATTTGCCTCGCTTAACATGGCAGGGGCTCCCGTTTCCACCCACGTTGGGTCAGCCTGAAACAGCGCACGCGTGGGAGAACGTGGATTCTCCTGTGTGAGAAGAGACTGAAATGGGAGCAAGCAGGCCCCTGAGGAGGGCCCATCTTACTGCTACCAGGACTCCCAAAACACTGTTGTCGAAAGACTTGACACACAGAAGACCCTGAACTGAGCCTCTGGGGAAGGGAAGTTTCATTAACATGACACTAAAATGGCAAGACTTTTAAAAAGCTTTCCCTTCTAGAGTCATTTAGGCAGTGCATGTCTTTGTGCTTTGGGGACTTGTAGGTAGACCTGCCTTGTGCTCTTGTGGTAGAGGCCGGGAAGAACATTGTCCCCTGAACCAGGGTAGGGCCTGGCTGAGTGGGTAGAAGGGCTAATGGTCCTCAGGCCTTTCTCTGTCCAGCGCAGACCCTTGTCCTTTCTGTGGATACTGAAGGATGGAGAGGGAGGAGAAGACGACTCACAAGCCCTGGAGGCCTCACCACTGTCATGGAGGAGCCAGGAAGAAGGGTGGTTTGGAAAGGCCAGGTGTGGGGAGGTGGGAATGTGGCTTTTTGCCTTTTTCCTCCCATTCCACATGTTTGCTGACCTATGCTGGCATGAAGAACACCGGGGAATAAGCCAACATGGTCTCTGGACATTCAAACTTAAAATTTTGAGTGAGATGGTCAGTCATTAAACATCATACATTTCAAATATCTAATTATAAGTTGCAAAGGATGCTATGAAGGCAGTGGTGGGAAGAACAATGGAGTGGGTGGAGGGCCACACTTTGGGTGGTCCCAGAGGCCTCTGGGGATTGTCATCTGAACTTGGACCTAAGGATGAGTAAGGGGTGGAGTAGAGCATTCTGGGGAAGCATTGTGGAATTACAGGAACTGAGAGCAAGCCAGTGAGGCTCTGTGGGGGTGGGTGAGTGGGTGCGAGGATGGCCTGGTCATGCAGAGCCTCAAAGGTCAGAGAGACTGGGGGACAGAATCTCTAGCCCAGTCAAAAACCAGGAGAGGGGCCAGCAGGTGGCATGCTGGTTAAGGAGCTGGACCCCCACATAGCTGACCTTGGTTCGAATCCCAGACCTGGAGACTTTCTCTCTCTCTCTCTCTCTCTCTCTCGTGCGCGTGCCCTATAGCAAATTTTAAAATAATAAAATTATTAAAAACCAAAAATGTTAGGAGACACCTTCATCCTGCCAGAAAATGGGAAACCTATAACTAGAAGGGGGAAGTACTTGGAACGTAGAACGTCAGAGTCCTCCACAAGATGGCAGTGGTCACCACTACCTAAGGACGATGACGCGGACGAGAGGACCCAAGGCTTGAGGACTCCCCCATTCCGTCTCCGCTCCCGGGAGCCCAGCCGCG